TGAGTGAGTTCGAGTGAAAGACGACTTTAAAATCTTACAACTTTCATATATATATATATATATAAACTAACTATTTTATCTCTTATTTTCCAACACTAACTGTAGATAAATCATCAAGGTAACGAAAAATGAAAAGTTCAAAAATATGAAATGAATCCAGTGATGCCATTTTTCTTTTCTTTGCGTTTATCTCAACAGTTTCAAGATGTGTTTTCCTTTAATTATACGATTTATTTCTGTACTTTGTACCATTTGAGCAGTAATAATCGTATTATCAAAAGCAATAAATCACAGTGGGAGACGTTAGCTATTTCTAATATAAACAGCACATGATGAAATATGACAAACATATGACTTACTTTCCGTTTCTTTGTTATTTGTTGTTAAGCACAAAGCTACACAATGGGCTATCTGTGCTCTGCCCACCACGGGTATCGAAACCCGGTTCCTAGCGTTGTAAGTCCGCAGACATGCCCCTGGGGGACACTTCCCGTTTCATTTTCCAGAAGTTTTGTGAGGTTAAGTTTCTACTTATTACATTCCAATTACGTTATTAAAAATCTTTAACAATGAATAAACAGTATACGTAAGAAAAAAGATTTGTGGTATAAACTAAGCATTCCAGCTTCATTACACATGAGCAAAAATCGAAGCTGTTCTGTGCAGAGTCTCACAAATTTGAATATCCAGAAGTAAATCATGTTGCTTCAAACATGTAATTCAGAAGACATGAAATAAATTAGCCAATATAATATATTTCACTTTTAAGTAAGCTACAAATAGGTTTAATAATAGGCTTTTGCATAAAGAAACACTTTTTTTGTCTTGGTTATAAACATGTCCATTACACAACTAAAGTTTAGTAGTAAAATAGACTCAAAAGATGTTGATTGTTATCAAGCACAAATTTACACAAAGAACTGTTTGTGCTCTGCCCCCCACGGGTATCGAAACCCGGTTTCTAGGAGTACTACTGTACCACTGGGGGACAGTCCCGAAAGACACAGTAAGATTATTTTGAGGTTCTAATTGGTTAGAAATAACAACAACCGATTTTTGAAAATAGAAACTTTTCAAGTAAGTAAACTTGGATCTTAGTCGTGTCACCTGATTGAAGAATGTAGACGATTTTTTTGAAACACCCAAAAAGTGAGTATTTTAAAGGATAATTAATTGTACAATCTCCTATTATTTTCATATTTTAGAAAAACTCAAGACTCAAACAATGCGTCTTTAATTATAAATATTATATAGCTTCGAATGCTAAAATATAGCACATTTCTCTCATTCAGAATAAAAACAAAGTTAACGATGGACCAACATTGGAAATTATTCTTAATACCCTTTCTATGTTTAAGAATTTTGAATCATAATTCCCTGTTTTGAATCTTTCATAATTAGATTCTTATCTTGAGAAGTATAGTAAAATTGAAGATAGACGGAATTTACAATAAATATATTGGATAATTTCTCTTGTAAACCTATCCTATGTTACTAATTCTAGACTACCTTCATCCTATGGATGACTTTACTTAGATATTTTCCAGAACAAATCCATTGTTAACTGGTTGGAGTTCCGGCTTTACTTGGAGTGCCTTATATATGTTGAGATCAACAAGAGTTCTGGCAGCTTTTGTAGCCATCAGGAATTGTATCTCTTATCCTTGTATTTTCACAGGCACACATGTAGCTCCACCTTCTCATGAGAGAACAGTAGTGACCTTGAAACTTCTTTGTGCATGCTGTCTGCTATATCCCACCCCACGTTAATGGTCAGACAGGACTTGACCTCCAGTGATTTCCTGGAATGAAAATAGCCAAGCCGCTTCACCTGTGTGTAGTAAGATGATACAGGTTACTCAAGTTATTTTACTGCATGTTATGGTATGGTCATTTCACTTTGAAATAACTTTGCTGCCATTACCAAAAACAAATGTCTTGGTCTTTCCTTCTGGAGCAGTATCTAAATCCTCTTTAGCCTCGACTGAGTGTGAAGTGAAGAAAGATCCTGGACATCATGTATCACACAGTGTAACTATCTTTACTTCCAAGAGTTACAGAGAATTATCAAAGATTCTAAAGGCAAATTTATTTTGACATTATTACTAGCATGAATGAGTGTTCGCAGTAATCAGAGGAATATTTCTCTCATTTATCTTGTTGGAGACTGGGCAAACATACCATTATATAGGGAGAACAATAATTCCATTTTTTCAGTCTCTTTAAGTTACAGCAATCTTATGTAGGATTAAAATATGGGATATCCTAATTGAAAGTACCATGAGTAACAAGGCCACTATGAACTTAATGGTTTCCTTGACTGACTTTCTATATAAGTTACCACTAGGGGATTTCAACAAATTCCGCTACATACTTTACGTTATGAACACCATGATTTTAGGTGGTTGTACAAGATTAGTAAAGTTTATAAACTGTTTTGTTTAAAATAATCTTGGGGTCAGAAAGAAATAACTGTTATGTTGAATGTTGAGTAACAATTAATTTTCGTTCTGTTCTCCATTTTTACAGTGAAGGCTATAATTCTAAGAACTTGTGTATTAGATTTCAATACTTGCAGTAAACAGAGCAGAAATAGCCAATTGAGTAGCTTTGT